GATTTGCAAGGCAAAATTTTTCTTTAATAAAACATGTTGACTATCCAATAAAATTCAAAACTTTGGTAATGACTTTACAAAGCATCTTTTATCAGGCTTTCCAAAACTTTTTCCATAACTGACGTAAGACTAATGAGTCTATAATTACTGGGATAACTTTTATCACCTCCCTTGAAAAGAGGAGTTACATTAGTTAACTTCCAATCCTCTAGTACCTCCCCACTATTCAAGGACTTGAAAAAGTAGCAAGTGGCTCACATATTCAATTCTTAACCTTCTTCAAAGCCCTTGCAGAAATATTATTTGGCAGGGAGCCTTATCATTCTTTAAACTTCCCAAGTTGTCCTTAAATATTATGTTATATTAAATATTTCTAACTTCTTTCATCAAGTTATATGTCTCAGAGCTTAAAAGTACTCTATCCATTACTCTCAACAGCTTTCTCAACCCCTATATACAAATCACTAGTTAGGCCTCAATTGAAATACTGTCTATAGTTTGGGTCTATGATATTGATATAATGCAAAAAGTTCAGAAGAGGTCTACTAAGATGATCCTGGGGATGGAAGAGTTATATTTTTGGGGATAGGTTAAGATATCTTTTTTTCTCTTGAGAAAAGAAGAGTAAGAAGTGATGCTCCCAAAGTTTACAAAGATTATCCAAAGGACTGATAGAATAAGAGTCTGGCTTCTTTGTACTGTATTCTGAAAAACAACAGGATGAGAGGACACAAGTTTAAAATCTGAAAAATACAAACTAAGCCCTAGTTATGACAGTTCTATTTTTTTTAAAAGGTATGATATGTTTTGAAATTTGTGCAAAGCTACACGAGGGCTATCTGCACTAGCAGTCCCTAATTTAGCAGGAAAGACTAGAGGGAAGGCAGCTAGTCATCATCACCCACCACCAACTTTTGGGCTACTCTTTTACCAATGAATAGTGGGATTGGTCATCACATTATAATGACCCCATGGCTGAAAGGGCAAGCATGTTTTTTGATGAGACAAGGATTTGAACCCACAACCTTCAGATTGCAAGTCGAGCACCCCAACTACCTGGCCATACCAGGCCTTTTTCTAAAAGGATTATTGGCTTTTGGAACAAGTTGCCATTGGCAGTAGAAAGTGCTCAAACTTTACAAAAATTTAAGAAATAAATTGACAATATCCTGAACATTTTTCTCAGGGATGGGTCTTTGTGTAAAAACAGCCTTGAAGGATTAAATGCCTTGATTTTTTGCATATAATGTTAAATATTTCACACGTGAAGAATTTATCATTATAATGCTACAAAAAATTTGCCAATAAATAAGTGAACATCCTGTACTTTTGATACAGTGTCAACAAAATTCACCATGATTAACTAAACTGCAGGGTAAAGACAACTGATCAACTTGTAAAACTAAGATCACACAGTTTATTAATATTAGACTACACTGTTTTAGTGAAGTCAAATGATTTGTATCTGTTCTCAAACTATCATATCAATTTTTTGTTTTGTTTTTATTCTTAAACAAATTGGTGACACGTTGCTCTCTTTATGGCAGCATGATTATTTGAACTACACATGTAAATTCGCAATCACAATTGATGTTGCAAAGAAGCTTGAAATAGGTAGAGAATGCTTTAATGTTAGGCTTAACACATGAAGGATATCCAAAACTTTTTTTTTTCAGATTTTGTCCTATGCTAGCCTAGATATGTAGTTTTATTTCATTTCATTCAAAAAGACAAAGATATAATAAATTTTGGACATTTAGCTACATAACAATTCCAGAGGCAATGAGCAAACTAAAATACCATAAAAAACAACAACAACCAAAACACTTAATCAGTTGAAATGGTCTACCCAGGTAAGAACTGAAACTTGCACAGAGATATTCTTAAAAAACCGGTTTTAGTGGCTTCTTTTGTATTTTTGCGTTTTTTCACAGTATTATGAGTATGTCACAAGTTTGTCTTTCAATTTAAACACAGAAATTATTAACTGTAAAGTGTAAGTGGCAACAGTGAAAATCCAACTTATATAGACCGATACTGCGATATTGATACAGTGGTAGTGCTATCTATATCAGTTGTTGTACTAAAAATTTCAAAAAGTAAAGGCAGTATAATTTGTTTAAATTATAATTATATTCACATTTGGCAAAATAAATTTAAAACTAAAAGTAATGTAGTGTATGTGACATTTCAACTGGATCATAACTTTCAAGCTAACCTACATGCTACATTAACAAAACTATATAACAATATTAACATAGTCAACTTCTAACAAGTTAAAGACTCCAATTAGAGTAAAGTTAGTCCCAGCCCTACCTGTGGTGCAATATCAAAAATCCACCTTCCTTGATCTGGAAAACATGACGTAAACGACAATAAAACTAAAAGTGTAAAATACAGTTTAAAACTAAATGTTTTAATCATTCTAACAAATGAGATCCAAATAATGTACAAAATCAAAAACTTATTGTCATGAAGTACAAAATAAAAATTTAACCAATATTTTCACGATTGAGCCTACTGATGGTTATTTTGTTGCGTTACAATAACAATTCCCTAAGCAACACCTCACAATTACACGACAGCAATTGATTTTTGCTTATTTGTAAGAACTTCCACTAGGGGAGACGTTAACGCAAAATTTATATTGATAGTCAAGCTGTCGAAATTGATAAAAATAGTTAAATAATAAAGTAAGGTTGTAAGTTAATAGAGTATCACTACGGAAATAGTTACTGTATTTCAATTATAGGTATACATTAACTAAAAAATACATTAAAATTTATAAAATACTTATTTTAAAAAAGAAAGTGTTTTTAATTCAAGATAAGTACGTTCCTAAAAAGGTGAGGAGGATGGCATATTAAGACATACCTGAGAAAATCAGGATTAAATGCCAAAGTTTAAGAAAGTTAAATTGACAGATAAAATGGAAGGTTCACAAATCTATAAAGATTTAATTAAAAATTCGAAATTCGAAAAGAGCTCAAGAGAAAAAGTTGGTTGATAATATATAAATTAACGAGAGTGATTTTTTTAAATAAATATGTTAAAGTAAGCAAAATATTAAAATTGAGATTAGACCAGAAAGATGCCGATGGTCATACTTTTATTGGAAACTATAAGTTGGCTAAGCTTTTAAATGTTTTATTATGTTCTGTTTTTACCAAAGAAGATATTAGCAATAGTCCTGACCCTGAGTATCATACGGGTATCGTAGCTGAAATAGCTACCAATTTTACCTTTTCATGACTAGTTTAGGATGTATTGGGTAAATTTTCTAACTTTTCGTGTAAGTATCCGGCATGTACAGATATGGAATTTTCCTAAACCGGTTGTCAAAAGGCCGTAACCATGTGCTAATCCTTTTATTGCGAATTGCCATGCCAATGACTAGAACCTTTTATTACTGTTACGACAGCGGAAGTCACGTGACTCTGGAAGCATGCGCGCTGGAGTTTCTAGAAGGATCATGACTGTTCCTGGCAACTCTAGTCTTTTCTAGGCGACCTTTATTTTATTATATAAGCCAGACAAATAAAGCAGAGAAAGAATAAACTAGTTTTATTTAAGGCAGGACTTGTATCGCTGAAGTTCCTCGGGAAGAATTTATACCGGAAATTAACAAACGACCAGAGATGTAACATTACTTTGGATCCTTGTATATGCCCACAGGATGTGCGAGGTAACACAGATACTTGTATGGCATTTCCGGATGAAACTTATTTCCGAATGAGTATTAGACAGGAAGATGGAACAAATAAATTATTAATTAAACCTGAATTTAACTAAACGACTGAGTTTTAAGCCATGAAAACAAAAAACAACAACAACAAAAACGACTGGACATGTGATGTAAACTATAGAACAATCTTTATTATTTAATCCAAGCACGAAACACAATGTGCGTATTTACGTAGACACTAGTTGTTAGTTCTTACTGGATTTGTTATTTATCAAGATTCGTTTTCGTAGACCGACTCATGTTAAAACCAAGTGGAATTATGTCACTCCAATGGGCCTTACCTAACAGGAGGAAATATGCCATTCCAATGCGTCAGATTTACCAATAATAATTAGCACTATCCATGCTTAACCGTTCTCGTTAAACGTGGTTAAGGATATAGCCTTCAAATATCATCTACTCTGGCAGCGTTTGTTTGTTTTGGAATTTCGCGCAAAGCTACACGAGGGCTATCTGCGCTAGCCGTCCCTAATTTAGCAATGTA